GGCTGGGCCGGCGGCGGCGACGACGCGGCGGCGACGACTGCAGCCTGGGCGGAGGCGGCGCGCCGGCGGGCGGCGGGGTGCTGGCCATGGCCGCGGCCGCGAGACGGGCCTCGCCTCGCAGCCGACGGCGGAAATCGAAAAATGGCCAGCCCGAGCCACAACGGCTGCGGAGGGCGGGAGCGACGACGACGACGACGACGACGACGACGACGACGACGACGCCAACGACCGACGGCCGACCACCGACCACCGACGACCGTCGACCGTCGACCGTCGACCGACGACTCACGACCTACGACACGCGGTAGCGCACGACACACCACGGGCGACGACCGACACCATGCGAGGGGCGACGCGCGACGGGCGACGGCGTCAACCCGCCTGCGAGCCGTCCGGGCAGGGCCCGAGCCCGAGGCTCGCGCCCGCGTGCCGTGCGCTCGCGCACTGCGCCTGCCGACGTTTCTGGCCCTGGCTGGCCACGCTGCACTCGTCCGGTCCCCGTGCTGGGCTTGGACGGGCCGCGCCAAGAGGAGTCAGGCCCAGCTAAGCTGAGCCTCGCGAAGCTCGACGAGCTGAGCCAGGCCGCGCCTGGCCGTCCCGGGCTCACGGAACGAGACCTCCGATCGAGCTGAGTCCCGACTGGGTCGGCTCAGCCCTGCCTACATGGTCTGATCAGAGCTGAAGCGTGACTGCCAGACCGAACCACAGCCAGGGGCCCCCGAAGAAGCACCGCACAGCGGGGCCGCCCTGCATGCCGAGCCAAGCCAAGGCCAGGCCAAGCTGAGCCGTGAGACGTCCGAGGGCTCAGCCACACAGACTTTGCTCACCCAGGGCATCCCGAAGCGGCGACACTCGTGGGGGAGACCCGCTGCCCAACTATGACGACCACGGCGACTTTCAGCTCGGCGGGGCCGACGGGGCCGAGGAAGCGGAAAACGAAGTGCCCAGAGGCAGTTTTCAGGCGCGCCTGATCACCTAGAAGCAGCAGCATTAAAAGCTGCGACCACCCATGCGTACCTAGATGCTCTAAGCACCTCCCGCATGCCTTTATCAGCGTCCGCCGTCAAATCTCCGAATCACCTCTCAGCATTCCCTCCCCCCCCCAACTCAGCCCACAACAAATCGAAGATATCAGATACACCCTGCTGTCTCTGAACTGCTCCTGGCGCAACAGCACTCGTGGTCTTGCGTTACTAGCGCATGTGGCTTCCCCAATCTTGCCTTCCCCGCAGGATCGAATTGCACAATTAGTTTGTGCTTTGTGGATCTGCAAATTCGGGCATCGCTTGCGCCAATGCCACTAAAAACAGCCATGTGGTAAGATGGTCGCTTTCCCATTCGATTGTTTCCTGGAAGCCTCTGAGGCCCCATGGTCACAGCGTGACCATGTTCCCCGGAAGAAAAACAAGAGAAGGCTCGCAGCCAAGCACCCCACCGAAAGTATGAATCACGCCTTCGGTCGAGCTCTGGCTCGCTACAGCCCAGAAGCCAAAGCACACGGAATGCGGAAATGCCTCAGACTGCCCAAACTGCCCGAGGCTGGAGGTTTGCTCCGAGTCTGCCAACACAGACCGCTTCGAACAAGGTCCCGTCGCCTACAAGACAGGAGTGCAAACCAGAAGATACTCGATTCTGTGTTCTCCTTCAACGAGACGCATCGCGAAAGCCGCTCTGGGTGAAAAGCTCGTCCCGTGACCAAAACTCCGCCGCTCGATTGCGCCTACGCGCTCCTGGCGTGAACAAACCTCGATACGAGTTCGGTCTGGAAACGTGTCGGCGCTATGCGGTGGAGAAAAGGAGGGCGAGGCAGGGGATGCTCGATCCTGTTGGGGCGGTCAAGCATGTAGACAACATGCGCGCGGGAGCAATCGCGCCCCTGCGGGCTCGGCCCCGGAGGTGCCTCCCAGCCCACGCGTCTCCCTTCGGCGGCGGCTCTCGTGGCGTCCTGGTGGGCTGCTCCCGCTGTCCCGGCTGAGCCACCCCCACCCTGCTCGGTTACCCTCCCGTCCCGTCTCTCCCTCCTGCTCCCCCTCCCTCCCGCCGAGAGGCGTGCACAAACAGAAGAGAAGCTAGATGCACGACCTGCTCGACGGCTCGTGGCGCACGCGACGATGTCGAAACTCGAGAAGGCAAGATCCACCCCCCTCGCTCCGCTTCCCCCCCCTGCTGCCCTTGTGTGTTCCCCTCGCCCCCGCCTCCCTCCCCCCCCTCCCTGCTCCCCTCCCGTGCCCCTCCCCCCTCGCTGCCGTCGTGGCGCACCCCCTCTGCCGGGGGGACAAGGGGGCAGGAGGCAGAGGGGCGGCGAGTCGAATGACTACTGGCGCCAGCAGTAGCCCGACATGGATGTGTGTGGTGCCGCCAGACCGAACGAGTAGACACACGAGTTCGTCGCACGCGCGAATGCGTACTATACAGTGGCACGCCTCGCACGGGCAATTCGCACGCACTACAACACGTGCGCGGCAGCAGATCAGGCGAGCAGGCTGCGCTACACATGTACAGAACTCCTATCGGATATGGAAAACACTGCGCGTGCCGACATGCACATATGCATGCATACCCGAACGTGTCATATGTAAGTTGTGTGAATACACTTGAGTACCACATGCCAATCATGCAGTTAGTAGTTTGCCGAAGAGAGCGGGAACCGCACGCTTGCAAACAGTACACGCGTGCTCCTTGAATGATGCACACACGTATGATCACATGCTGTACTACACATGCGCATGGTACTACATGTCATAACAGCGCATTGCAGCGCATGGCATGTCATGGTTTCGAAAAGCGTGCATAGCATAATGTGACGGAATGCCTAGATCAAGACAACAAAACATCGTGGCATGAAGTAGCAATGAATGGCATAGCATAGTGTTGCGTGGCATAACGTGGAATGGAATGGTGCAGCGTGCAAGGCAGTGCATACAGTAGCATTGTGTCGTCCACAGTTCATTGCATAGTCCATCACAACTGCACGTTGCGTAGCATGCCAGACCACAGTTGTCATGTGGGCAGCATGGTCAAGCGTGGCATAGCACGGCGTACCACGGTGCCACCTGGCATACTACTGGATGACGTTGCAGAACAACACACAGCAGCGCGGAGCACATAACTTAATGATACCAGAGAAACACCCAATCATAATCGTTTTAGGGCTATAGGGTTCTGGGGCTATAGGGCTATAGGGCTATTAGGCTCTGGGGCTATAGGGCTATCGGGCAATAGGGCTATGGGGCTATAAGGCTATAGGCCCTAGGGCTATAGGGATATAGGGCTATAGGGCTATGAGGCTATAGGTCTATTAGGCTGTAGGGCTATGAGGCTATAGGGCCATACGGCTATAGGGCTATAGGGCTAGTGGGCTATAGGGCTATAGGGCTATTAGGGTTATAAGGCTATAGGGCTCTAGGCTCTAGGCTATAGGGCTATAAGGCTATAAGGCTATAAGGCTATAAGGCTATAAGGCTATAAGGCTATAAGGCTATAGGGCTATAGGGCTACCAGGCACCCGGGGACCCGGGCCGGCCACCGAAATCGGCGACGAACCTCATCTAACCATATGAATCCGCTAGGACCCCTACAGAGGCAAGCTCGGATTGGGGAACTGCAAGGCACCGCATAATATCGTTGCAACACGTTGCGCTGCGTAGCAAGGTCTGGCGTTGCGCAGGACAGCATTGCACGGCACGGCACAGCATTTTAACATACTGCATAGTATCAAAAGACTGGGCACCCAGGGCGACCCCAGGGGGCATCCATCGTGGCCACCAGCCCTTTTGCAACGAACAAGTAGGGACACCTAAAGCAAATCCATCAAGAGGTGCAAATGTGTTGTTTGTGTGTGTCCCCAGTGGACCGATGACGATGAAGAAGCCAATAGAAGAAAGGCACCGTGCAGCTGCGAACCCGAAGGTGCACAAAGAGTAGACCACTCCGCGCCTACGGGTGCCCAACGGACGAGGGGTCTCATCGGGATCCGAGCATGACGCCGCTCCGCTGGCTTCCTCCGGTGGTGCAGAAACTGGCGGCGTGTTCCACGTTTCGGGGCACCCAGGGAGGCAAGGCCCTCTTCGGATCCGCATGGCCTGAACCTCACCGAGCCCATCCTCATCACCCTCGTCGTCATGAGCATCACCACCACCATCGTCATCATCATCATCATCAGCAGCAGCATCATCAGCGTCTTCATCATCATCACCACCATCATCATCATCAGCAGCAGCATCATCAGCAGCATCATCGTCATCATCAGCAGTAGCATCATCATCTTCGTCGTCATCACACTCAGCATCATCACCAGCAGCAGCATCATCATCAGCATCATCATCAACATCCTCTTCCTCCTCCTCCTTATCATCGTCATCGTCCGCTTCCTCCTCCCCCTCCATCCACCCATCCGCTTCCTCAGCGTACCCGTCGTTTGCGTCCTCCCTCTTTGCGTCCTCCTCTCTCGTTTTCTCCCCCGTACCATCCTCAGATTTCTCCTTCCTCCTCCTCCTCCTCCTCCTCCACCTCCTCCTCCTCCTCCTCCTCGCCATCATCATTCCTCCTTCTCCTCCTCCTCCTCCTCCACCTCCTCCTCGCCACCATCATTCCTCCTCCTCCTCCTGCTCCTCCTCCTCGTCCTCCTCCTCCTCTTCCTCCTCCTCCTCCTCCTCCATGTCCTCCTTCTGCTCCTCCTTATTGACTTCCGTATCCGCCTTCTTGACCTCCTCCTCCTTCTCCGCCTTCCCCTCCTTCTCCTCCTCCTCCTCATCATCAGCATCATCAGGAGCATAGGCATCAGCATCATCAGCTTCATCAGCGTCATCACTAGTATCAGCGTCATTATCATCAGCAGCAGCATCATCATCGTCATCATCATCAACATCAGCATCATCATCATCATCATCAACATCAACATCAACATCATTACCATCATCAATATCATCACCACCATCATCGATCTCCTTACAATCATAAGCAGCAGCATCAGCAGCGGTAATAACAACAACAACAACAATATCATCATCAGACTCATCATCATCATCACCATCCTCATCATCATCATCAGCAGCAGCATCATCAGCATCATGATTAGCCTCATCATCAGCAGCAGCAGCATCGTCATCATCGTCAGCATCAGTATCAGCAGCAGCATCATCGTCATCGTCGTCAGCAGCAGCAGCCTCATGATCATCATCAGCAGCATCATTAGCGTCATCATCATCAGCAGCAGCAACAGCATCGTCACCATCATCATCAGCACCATCATCCTCATCATCATCATCATCATCAGCAGCAGCATCATCAGCATCATGATTAGCCTCATCATCAGCAGCAGCAGCATCGTCATCATCATCATCAGCATCAGTATCAGCAGCAGCATCATCGTCATCGTCGTCAGCAGCAGCAGCCTCATGATCATCATCAGCAGCATCATTAGCGTCATCATCATCAGCAGCAGCAACAGCATCGTCACCATCATCATCAGCACCATCATCATCAGCAGCATCATAATCGTAATCATCATCCTAATCCTGGTCATCGTCCTCAGCATCAGCATCACATATCATCGCCATCATCATCACCATCATCAGCAGCATCATCAGCATCATCATCATCATCATCACCACCACCACCACCATCGTCATCCTCATCCTCATCCTCCCCCTCCTCCTTGTAAGCAGCGAACAACTACACGTTGCTCCGTCACTCTGTCCATCCGCTGTCCGCGAATGATGAAGGGGGGTGGGGGGGGAACAAGAGTGGACAAGAAAAGGAAGAGGGGGGAAGAGGGACGGGCGGAGAGGGAGAGGAGAGGGAGGAATGTAGGGGCGGAGGGAGAGCGGGAAGCGGGAGTTAAAGAGAAGGGATGGGGGGAGAGGAAGGCGGGGGGAGAGCAGGGAGGGGGGGAGCAGAGAGGAGATGGGGGCAGAGGGAGCGGAGCGGCAGGACACAGGGAGGCGAGAGAGGTGGGGGGAGCTTGGGGGGGAAGGAAGAGGGAACGGCGCGAGGAGCGAGAAAGCAGGGGGAAGGCGGAGGAGAGGGGAGAGGGAGGCCGGATCGCGGTGTACGAAGACAGACATGCACACACACACACACACTCACACACACACACTCACACACACACACGCACACACACTTTGGGCGATCGCGGCCCCGCGCGCAGCGACGAGGCGGAGCAAGTGAAGCACAGCCGACGGGACCCCGCGCGCGCTGGCCTCAGAAGAGTGCCGCACCATATGCCATCCTGGCGTGGATGGCAAAGAGAGAAAGAGAGGACGAGCGACGAGGCCGACAATCGGGGGAAGGAATCCACACAGCTACCAGCGGCGGAGAGGACGAGGGAGTACCAGACGCTCAGACAGCGGATTACTGCTGCGGGTTAAACGAGATAAAGCGAGCGGAAAGTGGCAGACAGGCGGACGAAAGAAGACCAGAAGCTCAGCGCCGTGGGTCGGGAGCCCCGTGAGGTCGGGAAAGGGGGAAAGGTCGCGGGAGGGGTGCCGCTCCTGGTAAGAGTCAGCGTCGCTGCTCCCAGCCTGCGCTGGAGGGTTCGCCGCCCCACCCTGGGCGGCGTCGCGGAGAACGGAGGGGGGAGCGAGCGGATTAAAGAGGCTGAGCTGCGGAGCAGTGAAGGTGTGAGGGTCGAAGTTGGGACAGACGTCGTCTGCGTCGGCAGATTGCCTGCTGGCCTACTCAAACCAGAGAGCGGACGTGCAGTCGACGACGGGGCTGCTAGGGTCGAGTAAGTCCGAGACACGACTGGCGAAAGCATGCTGTGCAGCTGCCGACGACGCCGGCGCCGGCGTCCCCGGCGCCGGCGTCTCCGCCGCCGGGCCGGCCACAGCCCATTGCTTGGAGGGTGGAGCGCCCGCCGGAGCGGACGCGGCTGTCAGACCGCGGTTGGGATTTAGCCGTCGTAGCCGCGGGACGAGAGGCCTCCGCTGCTGCCGGAGGAGGCAGGGCAGCGGGCTGGGAGTAGTGGGCGGAGGCAGGTCTTGGGCCGGCGGCTTCGCGGGCGTCCCCTGGCATCGGATGCGTGACCCGCGAGA